CTTGAAAATAGCTTGCCAGGCAAGGTTATATACGCGTACTGGCAGCTTTGACTTTATATAAAAATATTTTGCAGTACAGTAACAATTACCAGCAGTATGAAATATATATTTCTTTTGAACTTTTTGAGACAAAACTGAATACCATCACCAAGTTTCATCAAAATCCGTCAAGAATTTGGCCATCTTGAGTGGTTACAGGCCAAAACTTGAACGCATTTTTAAGAACAAGGGCAATAACTCATACTGAATATTTTTCGATTTTTCTGATAGGAATGATCCTTGGGTGATTATTAACACCAAGTTTTGTCAAAATCCATCAAGAATTGTGCTTTCTAGATTATTCGCATGCGAAAAATTGAACGCATTTTCAAGAACAAGGGCAATAACTCGTACTAAATATTTTTTGATTCTTCTGATTTTCATAATTACAATAGGGTTCATCCTTTGGTGATTACGAACAACTATACCAAGTTTCGTCAAAATCAGTCAAGAATTGTGCCTTGTAGAGTGTTTATGAGCAATTGTGGACGGACCGAACAATGGCAGACATGGGTGACATGGGTGACGGCAATATACGCCTCCCATCTTATGTGGGCATTTCTGCTAGATGAAATATAGCCTTACACAAAGTGACAATTGCACAACTTTGGATTGGGATGGGCAGCCACCAGAATGTCTTTCGAATCCATTTTATTGGGGTCATAGGAAAATTTTCCCAAATAAAGGGCTTTAAACCAACATTTCATGCAGTTTGAAAGAGTAGCGGGTTGGCCCCCTATGAGCTGCAACTGCTTAGACTAAAGACATACCATAATATTGGACTTAAGACTTCAAAAATTTCAAGGGCAGAAAACAAGTTCATTTGAGAGAAAACAATTTTGATTTAGTCTTATATGGCTTATTCTATATTGAAGTGGAAGTATATTTTGATGTGTGTGTGGTATCTAATTAACTTGTAGTTTGTTGTCCAGTTAACAATAGACACTGTATTACTACTCTATATTTCTATAGCCCAGAATATTATTATCACAGGATTATAGATTACTAAAAATCTTCATAGAGTATAGTTCATTAATATTTTTACAGAAATAATTTCTTTGGCAATAACTGTTATTCTATGTAATGCTGTTTAATCGTCTTCTATTCGGATGCTGGATTGACTTGACTTATTATGCAATTAGCCTATCAGGAAATTTGGCAGAAACTTACCCCAACATTAGCCTATTTTTGTCTTTTAAAAAGTCAAGGGCCTGGACAACCCGTAATGTAACATATGCAGTGTCGATAATAATACATACTGTCTATAATCTTTAACAATGTACAACCTTTGAAGAGTGTTTGGTGAAATTAAAGTCATAGCCAAGTCCTGTTTGTGACGTTCTATAGCACAGTCGGTTAGAGCGTTGGATTTGTACATGACATATTTGCTTGGTTACATGTTACAAATGGCAGTTGTGGGTTCTAATTTAGATTGGCGTGTTAAAGTCTGATGACCTTGAATGAGTTATTTTTATTCCAGTCAACCCAGCTGTAAATGGGTACAGATAATCAGGGAAAGATCACTGCCAAGAGGTTTGGCCAAGCACCAGCTGGTAGAAAGGTTCCTTAACTATGAAACTAAGTTGTTATCCTTATAGAATATATGCTAGATGTTTCTTTCTTTCCACCAGATTGATTGATTATTTAATTTGCTTATGCCATGCTTCACCTTTTGAGTGGTAAAAAATTAGTTAATTAGTGTAGCTCTTATTTCTTTCATCAACTTTCATGGGCGGTTGGGGCTCATTTAATTTTGAGAAATTCAAAAGTGTATAACAAACTGTTTTGAAGTTTGCATTATCATCCAAAAATAATATTTTCTTTCTTAATCCTTAGACAGACAAATTGTGAAACAGGTCAGAGACCTATAAATCCAATGATTCACTATTCATGTTATACAAAATGATAGAATAGAAAATTTCAATCAGAGAGTTTATATATGATTTAACAATAATAATGGTTATACTATGTAAATTTGTCTTATAACAGGTAGAAGCTTGCATAACATTCACTTTTCAAATAATGAAATGAGTTGATATCATACATTGAGGACAGACATTGAGTCAAATCGGAAGTCTGAAAGCAAATGGCCATGAAGTCTGAAATATGCATATAAGACAACATTTCATGTCCTTACCCATCTGAAACATCCCACAGCCCTGGTTTTCTACAAAATAACTTTTCATTTATCACTTAAAATGTATGATTTCCAATTATAGACAAGCTAAATTTTTCAAATTATATATATCAGTCATATCACAAAACAAAAACTTTCCATTTAGCATATATAATTATTTCCTTCCACATCAATTTACTAATAATGCTCACATTTGCCAGAATAAAAAATAAATTTAACCGTAATATTACTTTGAAACTAATATATACCATTCAGTTTTAACCTTATTTGAAAGTAACTATTTTTAAGTAATTTAAAGTAATGTTTTTCATTTTACTACAAACAAGTGAAAACATGATTTGATTTATGAAAACTTACATTTGTTTGTTTTTGTTGTTCTATAGGATTTTTCCATGTAACTCTTTTAGGGCTCGGAGTGCGAGAGACTCGTTCAGGGGTACTAGTAGCCAATGGTGATCTGTACAGCTCCGTGGAGCTCCCTCCTAAACTTCTATTATGTTCAGAATCCATCATTTATAATAAATTATATATCAGAATATTAATAAATAATCACACAGATATCACAGTATATTACTCCATATATAATATTATATACATGCAACACCACTATAAACAAATATACATACAATCTCACTGTACACTATAAACAATATATTAATAATCAGTTATGATAGTCAACCTAGAGAGGTATTCACCTGATCATAACTCTACCTAACTATGTAATAACTGAGCAGCCATTGTGTTGCTATACACAACTTGTCTCTACCCATTGTTAGTCTTAATCACCTAACCTTTCACATTGTTATCAGCTCACTTTACTCTAGCCGGAAAGTTGAACATGGTTCTCTTACAACAAGTCTCTACTTGTGTTTAGATCAACCGCCAATCACTTGTTAATAGCTGACTATTGGTTGGTTAATTGAGAGAATAACCCTTATTCTGAGTTAATATATTTTAATCTTTCAATTCAATTTAATCTTAATGAACCATAACATTCATTGAAATACTATCTTATAGACTGGCCATTTTTATGAACTTAGCTCAACTTACAACTCGAATTTCAAAGATTGCTATTGTACAAAAACAAATGCAATGATTTTGAAATTGCAAAAAATGACAAAGGTAATAATTTGTAATGAAAATGCACCGTTAACCATATGTTCTTTGATCATAACTTCAAACAGTGTAAAACAGAAAATGAATAAAAATCAATATTATTGGTAAAATATAAATAGAACTAAAGAGCTGGAGAATAGAAGTCAGCATGATCTCAAACAATAAATACTGATCAATAACCATTTATCATCATACTAAACACTTCTTTATTATATTGGTCATTACTATATCATTATGCTCTATTCTGGGTTATCTTGAGAGGAGCTCAGTTTTAACTTGCAGATTGAAATCTGACAGAGAGTGAAATTTAAACAACTAGAAGCATCAGTGTCAATCTGACCAATTGCTGGGATTAATTCAAATTGAACTTAAACATGGCAGTTGACTTCAGTTGCACTTCAAATCTGATTTGTATGTCCATCCAGTTGATTGCAGTTGTCAGCTGTTTAGTAAATTCGTTAGAATATCCACAATCTTGAAGGAGTAGTGTAAGAAAAATTGAACCATTTGTGCATAATACTATTTCAAGCCAAGAACATGATACATCTACAGCTTTAAGATATTTTGTAGTAATCACATTTTTCAAAAGTAACAAGATCACTTAAAAAAAAAAAATTCCTGCAGTATTATATTCAAATACATACAGTGATACCTCTTCTATGCAAATGCAGGATCATCACAAATAAACTTACATTTTCTTAAAACATTTAGAAGATAATGACGTATTCTATTAAATGTTTAATATATCCATTTTGGTCTAACATCTTGCGTCTTAATCTTCCATCTACATCATTATTGTTTTAATGCATAAAAATGAAATTTGTTGAATGAACGTGTCTTATCAAACTTTAACTTCACACAATACCTGTATTATTTTTACATTAAAACATAGACTTCAACTTGTTGAATCAGGGTTTTGTTTATTTAATATATTAACATTGGCAATCATGTCAGTGGTAATATTGATTAAAGTATTTAGTTTTATAGTTTAAATCTACTCTACCTAACAGATAATCTAAATAATCTTATCTTAAAACAGACTAAATAAGTAATCTTGTTTAATATCTTTAAAATTCTAATTTTGATTGATTATTGGGTATATTATATTCAATTCGATCATATCCAAATTCAAGAACTGCATTTTTGCAAAATTCTGACACTAATAGGTTTTAAAATATATTTAAAGTTGATTAGGGAACATTTCACCTACATACTGTTCCTTACAATACAAGGAGACAGCTCATCCAGTATCAAGTTGGATTGTGATCTGTTTAGGGTTTAGGCATTGTAGTTTAAAGTCCCTTCCAAGACACGAAAATATTTGGTGCAACAACCCATATTTTCTAAACAAAACTAGATATAAAATACTGGGTACTTGTTTTAAGTCCAATACTTACATGTTTTCATCAACAAGTTCTTTTGAAATAAACAGGCTTTATTAAAGTTTTGAAATGCATTTGAAATTCTAAAAATAACATTTCTGCATCTTCCAAACATCAAAGAATGCACTTTACATTTCAATCAATATTCACTCACCAATTCCAAATAATATTCCACACCGCTAAGTTATAGGTTTGACTTACTACTACATGTCCAGCGTTGTACATTATCCTGGCATATTGCCTAATAGAAATAAACCCTACTGCTATTCTTGTTTTTAATCTTATTAAATAACACCTGAATTACTATTTAATATTGCCTGATCAGACTAATATACTTCTATAAAGGAATACAGATTATAGGCTCTCTGTAGAATATAAAATATAATGTTCAAGCTTCAAAAGTATGGGTTATAGTTAAAAAGACATATGGTAAGTAAGCTTATATATTAATCTTGTTTCTCAAATGACAGATATTTACACTCTATACAATATAAAATAAATACAGTAATATATTAGGTTTCTAGTATTTTGATATCTGTAGTAAATCATTTAATCTGTTTTAATTGACACAGTCTGCCAACAGTAAGAATAAGATGCGATTTAAGGAACATGTCATTTTCCAAATGCACTGTATGATGGCCACTTAGGTGACTAAATACTATGCGTAATACAATATAAATTACTTTTAAAGGTCCAATTCTCTAGCCTCTTAAACCATACAACAATTTGCATCAAATGTAATAATACCTAAGAAACCTTAATTAGGATTCTTTTTACAAATTTTTCTTCAACTTTGAAAATTGTAAATGCTGAAGTTGCCCACAGGAAATATATAACTTTATATCTTTAGCATTACAATTACATTCATTCAGTCTACTCCAATGTACTCGTCCAGAAAGAATAACTTATCCACGACAAACCAAATGTCTCTTCTCAGTAAGAAAAATAAGACTTATTAGGATTATAAAAATATGATCGAGATAAAATAAACAGGGATTTTATTTTAATTTTTGAAACAATTTCAAGTTAAATCTTAAATATTGTATAAGCTTATTCAATAATTTAAATATAGATTTCAGATTACATTCACCAAAACAGACAATTTTTACAATGCTACAAAGCAACACTTACCTTAATACATTTTGAGGTAGCATTTAGTTTAGTTTCAAGGATTTCTACGCGTTGACTAGATTCACTCTCTAATTCTTCAATAGTTAGTACTAATACTTTATTCTGTTCATTAACATCATCAATATACGATCTTAATATTTTCATCCTCGACTGAAAATATGATAATTATGATATGTCTCAAAACAGTTTAAAAATGAATAATATTTGAGAGAGAAAAAAGGTCCAATGGTTAAATTCATTTAAGCTATAGCTTAGAGTTAATGCATGTAGATCGGCACTTCACGCCTTCACTCTTTATAAAGGGCAGTAATCAGTATTTTCAGAGGTCGATTTGGGATGGTAGACAGACCACACAACCCGTTACGACAATTGGTGTACTAGTAGAGTGTTAATACCTTTGTTGTGTTTTGTCCCGAAAGTTCCAATTCATCAAGTTTTTGTAGTTTATCTTCATACAAATATTTGAATCTCCCCAGCAAGTGATGCATTTGTCCCGATTGATATCTTGCATGTTGACTAGAAATTGTTAGGTCATCAAGAGTGAGTCCAGAACTTGTGTCATTTTTTGAATCATCTTTGGTTGAAAACGATGAAGAATATGGGAATGAAGAATATGGGGATGCTGACTTGGCAACTCCTGCAGCCATCTTATTTTCATCATCACTCAGCAGATGACAGCTGCTTTTTTCTTCGGAATTTTGCAGATAATCGAAGGAACTAACAGTTCCAGGTTCTTCAGCCTCTGTTTCTTCAATAAGATCATACAAAGGCGAATTGTGGCGATACATGTTTGCAAAAATTTCAACAAAATAATAACATTGAATTTATTCATTCGTCACACTCCTTCGCTTTCGTTGGACTACAGACCACATCCATGTCATGGCTATAATCACAGCACCCTCGTTTAAAATCATTTTTTTATTTTTAATGAATCGGGGATAGGAAAATAAGGAAGAAGGTAAATGAATTAAAGAAACATTAAAGACCCATTGTTTTCTAGTCATAGGCTGCAAAGAATATCTGGATATTTGACGTGGAACTGTAAATAGCTCAATGTATTACACGGTGCTGTAGTGTGAATAGCCTACTACCTTTCTTCCCTTCTTGAAAAAAGACATATCCACTGTAAACAAAAACAAGACATTTCTTGTTCTTTTTCTAAAATAACTGAATTGGGTGATTGTAAGTTTTTGAACAGTAAATTATTATGTCATGTCTATAGGCTAGTACCCTTGGCAGAGAGAAATTTACTCCTTATCCACTGTCAGTCTAACTTGAACCACAATTTGGACTGAAATTTCCACTCGTAAAATATCAATAACCCTGATTCTAACCAAATAAATTAAATTTACATTTACAAATAGGCCTAACAAGAATAACAAAATGAATGATAATGTTTTCAATCGTTCAAAAATTGTACAGGCAAACCAAGGCAATCAACCCCCAGATTTATGACACTTTGTTATATGGTTATATAGTTATACTTTCGTTTGGTTACTTAAAGACGAGAGTATGAGATGAGGGGATGTAACTTTCAAGGGGCATTCCAATTTTTTTGTAGGTTTTGTTTGCTCAAATTTGTGAAAACTAGCTTACACACCAAAGTCTAGAAAAAAGTAGCACTTAATGTAAATTTTTAAGTAAAAAATATCTGTAAGTTTACGTAAACTTTTAACGTATGTTATGCTTATTGAAAGCTATTAGAAAACCACTGTACAGATTTAAGTAAAATAAATGCTTAATTGTAGAGGAATTTGTCTCCTACTTATTATTATGCCAAACACCAAAACTAGGTCAAACTGCTTGATTAACAATTATTACGTTACGATATATCGGTATAAAAATTGTGCCATATTGTATCAGCTTAGTCATATTTTTTCTCATACCTGTTTATTTTGATAATATCTATAAATCCCCCTACTCTACTAGGTTTTTAGAACATGTGACATGTCAATAGTCAATGGTTTACACACAGTCAAAACTTTATATACTAGATGCATTAGGTGACACAATTTGCAATATCTTGCATGACATTTTTCTACCTGAATTTTTTTTTGTGCTACCAGACCATGCTGGTAAAATTTTACACATTTTTATAGTTTTCTAGTTGTTGCTTAGACAGGTTTATTAATGCCCTTTTAATGCATTCAGTTGATATTTGCCATTTTTTGAAAATCCAGCAGGTATATTTATGACTATGGACCATTTTTTTTATTGTAGAAAAATGGCTCGTAGATGGAAGCTACCAAAAACTAGGAATGATAGGATAGCCTTGACTGTATTTTGTGTTGGAGGTTTATTTTTGTTATGGTATGAATTAATTCATATCATGCCATTTTATGTACGACAGAGTGGTTGGAATAGCTGGGTTTACATTCACATTATAACATCACTGTATTTAGCTCATAATATTTATGGTAATATGTATATGTTAGCTACAACAGACACTACAGGCAGTGGAATGGTGTGGCCTACCCAAGGAACATCAACTGAGAATGGATGGAGATATTGTGATGTATGTCATTGTAACTATCCACCTAGATCTCATCATTGTAAAATCTGTGATCAGTGTGTGTTAAAACGAGATCATCATTGTTGGTTTGCTGGATATTGTATTGGTTATCATAACCATCGTTATTATTTAGCTTTAGTATTTCATATGGTTTTAGCTGCGATATATTGTAATGTTTATAATTTCCAGTTTGTATCCCAGATCAAAGGTGGTTTTGGTTTCTGGACAATATTATCATTTGTTGGTCCTCATGTAGGTTTAATGCTGGGTTACTATGATTTATATACATTTTTTATTACAACACTAACCTCAACTGGATCACTATTATTATTTTTATTTTCCTGGATGTTAGTTATACAAATGCAACAATTAAAATATGGACAAACTAAACATGAGCATAAAAGAGGTATTAAAATTTATAACTTAGGTTTTTTCAATAACCTGAAGGAAATAGTAGGGGACAATTGGCATCTTGTTTTATTGTCTCCATTTTTTCCTTCCAAACTTTCAGGAGACGGTTTAAAGTTTTCAAAAGTTTTTCCTAAATCTGAATAAATTAATAAGGTGAAATTCATTTAGATACTCTATCAAAACCATTATCAATCTAAAAATATGTCCTCAAGAGACCACCAAAAGTTGTTGAGACAGAGATCTTCAAAGATAAATATAAAAGAGCAACCTACTTATTGGCATTGATGGAGAAGTTGTTATTTCAGATGTTCTTTTATCAAGTATAACATAAATATGTTTTGTTGGTGCTCTTAGTTATAGTATAAATGGTTTATTATTTATTTTCAGTTATAAGTTATTGATGTACATTAAATGACACTTATTATACTGCCTTTTTTCTATAATAAAAAATGAAAAACTAATTTATTGTATGAACAAGAATTTGTTGATTTTGTTTTATGATTGCATGTGAATTGGTTAAAACTTTTTTTTTATATCAATCTATTTATTCTGCATGATTTTTTATAAGATTTGTCTTTATAATGTTTTATGATTCTTTCTTAAATAATGAAAATATAAAAATCAAAATATTTTACTTGTTATGTTTCTTTTTATCAAACTTGGGTATTAATGGTAAAATGGTTTGTAATGATATTTATTATTTTAACGAACTTTAGCTGTACAACATAAATTTCTCATAGCAGCTCAAATTCAAACAAGTTGTCTTATCTAAATGTCAATCAATTCAATTTGGTTAAAAGTGGTGTAAGGGTGTATATTAAAATAAGATTATATAGCTGTAGGCTATTTGGTTCTAACTGAGTGAACATGAGTGGTGAATTTCTGGCTGGTTGACTTCAAACAATGCTAGCCTAGGTAAGTCATGTTGTTCTTTTTTCTCTTAATTTATCTGGTATTTATTTAGTGTACATTTAAACTATAGAAAGTCAATTGTTATTGAGGTGTGGGGTATTGTTACCTTCCTACTTCATTTCATTTAATTTGACATCAATTTGATTGTATAAGAGTATATTGGAATAGTAAAGGGAGAAGAATTTGACAGTGTTTAGTAAAATTAGTTCTGTATTTTGTTTCTAGAGAAGGGATGTAACAAGTGTGAATTCTCAAGATGAAGTGTATGATATATCAATGGATTATATTAATTATTAATTGTATACCTGTATTATCATATACCTGTGATTTACCAATTAGTACATCATCACCTAAATTACCTACATTACCTGAACAATATGAAGCTCATATAGAGGCTAATATTAAACAGGTAAGAACCATTTTCGTTTTCTTAGCAATCATCATCAGTTTGTTTAAAGTTATTAAATATTTAGAGGATATGAGTAATTCATTAATGATAAAAGTGTATTTGATCATTTAGTGTATATATATTTTTAACGAACATAAATTGGCCTATTTTCAATGTGTTTTTTTGGTATATGTATGCACCAGCCCCTGATTGCATCGCATGAATTTATCAAGTAAATCATGGAACCTTGATAAAAAATTTATTTCGCATATAATAAGGTAAACTGACATCACTTGAGTTTTATCACATACGGAAGGCCAGTAAAATCATATGCTGGAAAAAAAGTCCCTTACTCCCTTCAAGGCACACAACCTTTTTGGTCAATATTTTCTTCAAGGCTCAGAGTATATAAGATTGACAGTTTTAATGAGCCTTGTGAGGTACATAACAGTATAAAATACAACTTCTATACATTTAAAATAATTTCAGAAGGGGAAGACAATAGAAGTAACAGAATACTATGATTATCAAACTAATCAAGCTACAGTTAAACTATTTACTAATGGATTATTATATACTTCTATCACTAATTTTAATGACATGGAAAGATATAACATCCACCCTGGTAAGTAGAAAATAGAAAGGAATTCAAATTATTGGAACAATAGACCAAAATCTGGAGAAATGTGACCTTGAAAGTTCTTACCTTAATTATCTTGCTATTGATTTTTAGAACTAAGTTCTTTGGTTGATTTTGAAAAACTACTGTACTGATTTCTGCAAAATAAATACCAAGTTTTAGTAAATTTCTCAAATATTATAAATTTGTTTACAAATAATTTACAAAGTTTTTTATAATGAAACTTTTGGATACTGCTCTATTAAAGCACTTAGTGTTATTATTTCAGATGGAAGTTGTGATACAAGTGATTTAACCACAGTCTCAAGAAGTTTATTTGGTTTTGTTGTTGGTAATAGTTCCAAACACATTGATACAGTTACTGATGTCTTTAAATTTGGTCAACAATTCCAGGAATATTATATTGGAAAAGATGAGGTCTGTTGAATTTTGACAATTTATCTACCAATATCTACCATCTTCTTGAATGACTTTTGTCGTACCTGGAAAGAATGCAAGCAATTTTTCTGCCTTTTTTTGGAAATTTTGTGTTCTGTTATATCTTGCAGAATGATGTTAAATATGCTCCAAACATGTAACAAAGTTTTGATGAATACCTTTGCAATTTGCATTCCTTATTTTAGATTCGAGGTATACCTGTCAATCATTGGAAATCATGTCAGAGATGGGAAGGAAAAGACACCAACTTTACTTTAGATTATTATTTTAGTCAATCTGATTATAGAACAGCTAGTGGTAGTAAAGAAATACCTATCAGAGCTGTTTTAAATGGAATTGGTAAGTACTGAATATACCAAGATGTTGTGTTTATTTAAGTAAAGGCCACAACTCTTTTATAAGTATTCAAGAATAACAATATTAGTTTCGATAATTGACATCAAATGAAACTGTCATCAATTTCTCTGATTACAGCTGCTGTGGAATTTCTTTTCTAAAATGTGATAGAGGTAGCTTAAATGGACATTTGATTTACTATGTATTGATTTTTTTATTTCAGCTAGAAATGTTGATTCCACAGGCAATCCACAACTTGGAACTCACAACTTCTCTCATGTTTATGATTTTATGTTTTTCCGACCTGGTTCAATACAAGATAAAGATATTTTTAAGGTAAGTTAGTTTTGATCCAATCATGGGTATGAGGAGAAATAGGGGATTTTAGTTTGATTGACAGTGTAAAGGCTCATTCAGGGAACAGCTTATGCTGAAACTCTGCATTTCGTGACACTCGGTTTAGAGTTGGTGGATCTGACTTTGATATGAGTTGGAACAGAGAAACTCACTTTGTGTTAGCAGTTGACAATGAGAACACCTCGCAAACTTTATTTTGATTTATAAAAACATTAATTTTCTTACAGGTTCCAAGAGGGATTGTCTGTAAAGGAAGAAAGCCGACTGTTAAAATGCCAATATTACCAAATCAATTTTCATTAAGTCTTGAAATGGATACACCATATATAGATAAACCTTCAACACAAACAGTATGTTTTATATCACTTTTTATTAATAGATCATTGACCTCAAATCACTGGTGAGAGCATGTAATAGGAAATGTTTTAAGATAACTAGCTATAAAAGGCTGTGTCAGAGTCTGATCTAATTGATCAGTCAAAATGAAGTCAAAAACACAAGAGTTACATTAATTGGGTATTGGAGCTGTGAACATATAATTATTTACAACATTATATTGTGAATTTTTCTACAACTTGACTCTTGTTGAATGCTATTGTAATAGATGTAAAGAAAGGTTCCTAATTTAAATTCTGGAAATGTAGTATATCTCATATATCTATATTTCAGATCTATTTTGATTATGAATATAAATTGATAAGAACAGATCATGGTGATAAACTAGGAGAATCGTCAGATATTTTAACTTGGATTGAAGATTATAATACCGGTAAGTTATATACGCTGACTGGACATATTGCTTCTTAAAGGCTTTCATATAGACATTCAATATATATGGTTAAATGTAAATTATGATGAAGAAAATATGTTAACTTTCTTTTATTAAAATATTTTATGAATTGCAAGATTTTGAGGAAAAGTTTTTTTCACTTCACAATTTATTGTCTGAGGCAAGTGGTGGTGAGTTTTCATAGCTGATTGCAAGTGATTTTGTACATTTATAAATTTTAATATTGAAATAATATACCTAACTACTACTATTTTGTAATAATTAAGACATTGTATATTTTAGGAGTAGAATATATACTAGATAAGAGTAATGGTAATTGTACAGTAAGAAAGATAGATAGTAAATCATTTGGTAGTTATATAACAGATAATGGTAATATTAACATCAGACATGCTGAAGATATTTTAAAATATAATAACAGAACATATATTTATCAAGGGGAGGTAAGTGACCATAAGACTTTCCTTAAAAATAATCTGGATGTGATATATTATTTGTGATAGGAAACAGAGCTTTGGCAATTCGTCTGAAATGAAATGTGTCTTAGTTTTCTGCTCTGGAATGGGCTTATTAAGACTGGGAATGTCTTATTGTGTGCAATGAGACTATGCCTAATCTTTTTGGACTTCCATTTTGTTGAGGAAACTTGAATGTACATGACTGATAACTAGAAATATCTCATTTGACTATACATAGAATGTACTTATCTAACTATAATTTGGAACAAAATAAAATTTCATTCAGAAAATGTCAAATTACTAAATCTTCTGTAATTTCGGTATTCTATAGAATCAGTATTTCATCATGAATTAGTGATGATCACATTCTATTTAATAAATGTTTCAGAGGATATGGAGAGGTCTTAAGGCAGATGCTTGGGCCAATCAGAGTTCAGATGGTATCATTCAAGAGATTTTATTTTTAAAGGTAACATTATCTTCTGAGGTTTCCATCTGATTTTTTTAAAGATAATAATTTTAATCATTTCATTATAGTGAATTTGTGTACACTTCAGCTTGCAAAAAAGTTACCTAAAATTACTATAAAGTACAATAATTTAAGTTTAAAGACTCCATCTACTAACTAATGTTTTATATTTTAGAATACCCCATCTACAGCAAATGAAAGTATATTAATTGGTTTATATATAAAAAATATTAGTACTCATCCCTCAAAACAATCCACACAGCAGATAAACAATCCTTCTGTAAGTATAACTTTATCAGAGTATATTATGTGAATTTTTATTCAAAATTTAAAGTTCCATTGAATTTGAAAATTTAAGATGTAGACATTCAAAGTATAGTCATAAAATTAAACAGTTCACCAAAAAAAATTTCATCAGTCCTTTAATGTTGATATCAACTTGAGGATGTAATTGATAATTTTTTGGTCCATTGTAGAAAGAAGACAGTGAAAAGTTTGTACATTTCTATAATTATAAAAGCAGTCATTCTAGTTTACATGTATTTGATATAAGTCTGTGTTATAAAGAAGATACACAGAAAATGAATGTACAGCTATCTATAAAAGGTGAGTTTTTCTGTGATTATCAGACAATTTCACAGATTTATAACTTGAAGTTACCTTCCTAAATTTATTGATGCCTTCTCTACTACTTCGACTGATTTTCAGGGTAAAGGTTTGTATAGATTATTAGTTTTGTGGTAAAATTCAACAACATCTGTTTCTAACAAGTAACATTGTTAAAGTAACAATCTGATTTGTTTTATAATCTTTTGAGCCTTGGAGGGTGAAATACTGCATGTTAAAATGTAGAGGAATATTTCTCTTTTTCAACTTCAGATATCACTAACAAGCTACATACAAATCATACTTGCTTTATTTATAATGGTCTTGATAATTTCAGCTATCTGATTATGAGTACTGGTGTAATGAGGTGGGCACTGATATTAAGGTTTTTTTAAGCATAGAATTTATTATTTTTTAGGCCAAACTGAAAATATTAACAGTTTGAACTCATATTTCTACACAAAAACTATAAGATATATAGCTCAACTATGTCAGATTTCACCTTTACAGTTTACTCATTTCAAGGTAAGAAATTGCATTCACTTTTGCTTTTGTTCCCAAATAATTTGAATTAGTTTAATGAAATTTTGATCAGAAACAACTAATAGTAAATTAGTATGCATGTTCTCCATTTCAGACAGTACCTGATAATGATAATGAAACTGTAGTTGTATCACTTACAATTTGGGATAAATCAGGTAAAATAACTTAATGTTAGCTGTCAGTCAAAATTTCATGTGATTGTGAAATTTTTTAGAGCCTCATAGAAAAAAATCAGCCGATGCAGATTGCATGAAAAAGTGGGTTGAGTTCTAACGAGTCATTAAGCCTATGCTTAACTTTATTCTATGTAGAATACCTTCTATACTCTACTATGAACATTGTTTATAAATAATCCTTTTGTGAATTTCTTTTGATAGCAGTATTTTATTAAGATGAAATATGAATTTATTAACATTTCCTTGTTGTGTATCTTTTCCCCTCAGTTAAAGACTTTGTTACTTGTTAAAATAAATATTGTACGTTTCAGATGATGTTGGATTACAAGAGATATATAATAATCTATTAACAAACACAGAGAAACAACCAAATTATACTGTCAACTATCCACAAAATATACAGGTATTTCAATCATAAAGTTAATAAGATTGATTCGATTTTTTTCTCCACCATGTTATTGGATGGCAGCAACTAGAGCAAGACAGGTTCCACTCTACTGAACATTTTATGTTTTGGAATAACAATATTTGTCAAATCTGTCCTCTGGAGTATCCATACAGCCAAGAACATTTATTGAGATGTACGACAATGCGGAAATTAACACAAAATATACTTGACATCATGACGTATACGAACGTGTGCTTTTCTAAGGTGTCATAATTCAAGCTCTCATGTTATATTTCAGCAAACATTAACTATTGAAGCCAAGTCTATAATGATGTTAAATGATGAAGACAATAAAACACAATCAGCTTTATCTGGATATTCCACAGGTAGTATAGTGTACACTTTAATATATAAACTCACTGAGCACAAGATTCATCCATTCCACTTATTCTCATTTTAGAACAATTGTAGGCAATGTTTCGAGTTAGTTGTATGATCTATTTTAATGCTTGCATTATACCTACAAAGTACATAACTTGTTCTTCATTAGGATATATCTCTCTGTCATTGTGTAATCTACAGCTACATAATTTAAACAATTTTGTACAACCTAGCTGTCATTGTACAAGTCTAGGATATTTATGATTGCAAGTAAATCTAGTACTATTAAATATATAAAGACAATTTTAGTCTATGATATATAGTTTATAATATATTTTATAGGTGTATTAGCTGGTATTAGTGTTGCTATGTTAATATGTGGTGTAATAATTGGACTATTAACCATGTGTTTTGTACATCGTCGGTTTTATCTGCCAACAACTACTTCTACTGATAGTACTGTACCATATACCAGAAATAAAGACTAAATACACATGACATCACATCTACTGCTACTAATGTCGTTAATAGGAACTAATCACAGTCTAATGTGAAATATTTGCTCATGCCTTTTACAGGTGATTGAGTAGTAATCTTATCTCGTTAAAGATCTGGATGAAGATCTGAATTTGAGAAATTAGTGCTAGCGAAATATGATTTTGTTATATTTGGGCATTTAAACCCAGTGATTTATTACTTTTGCACAGTAGACTTTTTAATTTTTAATTATGTGTTAAATGAGTATAGAAGAGCAACCATTCCTAGGTCTATGATGATTTTTGTCAAGGGTCAGTGAAAGTTCACATCACAACAATTTTTATATCTTTTATTGTTGTTAACAATTGTATAAAGAAATAACAATAGAAAATTTCTCAGTCTTTGAGAAACTATGTACAATTTTTTTTCTTTGATGTCCTTCAGTAAGGTTCTCTGAACTCTAAATCCATACAAATACTTTGCGTACTGTACACTTCTTCATTACAGTGCTTTTGCATTTACCGGTAATATTTGGTTGATTTTTCACTCTTCTTAAGTCCTATTCTATATTGGATTCAAAGGACCAAACAAATCATTATCTGTGTCTTTATTCTGTAAAAAAAAATGAAATCTTAAATCTTCAAATGAACAAATGAACTATTTAATAACCATCCCTCTGATATAATAGACCATACTCACATTTTTCAGAAATTATTACGAAAGTTTCTGTACATATATTTTTCTTACACACTGATATACTGCAGGAGTAAATTGACAGTAACATAATAATAGAATAACAGAGATCAAGAGTATCCTACTCAAGCCACACATGAAATGTTATTTCACCATATTACTAATCTAAAGTAAATGGGACATTATCCTACCTGTTCTAATTTAGCTCTTTTCTGCGATCTCATATCATCTTCATCTTCTAATAACTCTTCCATCTTTCTTTTATACCTATAATATACCTATATTAGTAAGTCTTTTTGTGATTTAAATTATACTAAAATAAATCCTGATCATGAGCTGACATAATTAGAACTAGAACCGTTATAACGGTACCGAAGCAGTGCGCATCCAACCTGATACATCGATAAAACGCTGCATTTTAAAGTCACAATGGGATTTCTTACCGGAAAGAAAAGCATGTAAACGTTCAATAGTAGAAAAAATCGTTTAAACCGTTTACCGTTCGGAAGTGAAAAGACGCATGAATTTGATACCATTCGGTACTAAAAGGTGTTAACATTCGGTAGTAAAAAGTCGAATTTTCAAATAGCTGTAAAGTTAAAAGTCCAATTCGCACAACAGAAATGAAAATATGCACTCCAAGAATATAAATTTTGTTATATGTTAATTAGGTCACGTGACAGAGCTCTTCAAAGCTAAAAATCGCGATTTTCAAATTGCTGTAGAACCGGAAGTTAACAATGCACAACAAAAGTGAAAATATTATCGGATATATCTCGTAAGGGGCAACCAATGTTGTTCAGGTCAAAAGGTCAACAAATGTCAAATAAAAGTAATATGAGCCTTCGAAGTTTCGAAAATTGCTGTTTTGGACGTCTGCAAAACCGGAAGTATATATCGGACATCAATGATCAAAGTAAGAATGGTCATCCTTAGTCAATGACCTTTGACCATGCAAAGGTCAAGGTCATTCATGTTAAAGATCAAAAATGAAAATTTATAAAATTGTTAAACCTATTCCCTTTTTTAAAGTAAAAAATGCAAACAACTGTAATCTTATCACAAATTGTCCTAAGCTGTGATCTTCTTTCATGCAAAATTTCTAGGGTGACAATTGAAAACTATGAGAGTTATAACAATTGCAAATATTTCAGGTAAAGGTAAATGCACACCGGATGTGCCACGCCCACTTCAAAAATTTTAATTTGTCTGTGATAATGTGTACATTGTTAAATAATGTTCAAAATTTCAAGTCTTTACAATCATTAGATCATGAGATATTCGTAGTTAAACTTTTTTTTAGGGCAACGGTGACTGTCGGTAAATTATAGACACCGTGATTTTACGCACAGTTACTATAGAAGTCAGTACAAAATTTTCAATTTTTAAAACGCGCAATTTTGATCAAAATATCAAGTGTGATATATCACCAAAAAGGAGATTTTATGCACTCAAAGAATATATAAGAATTTTTGTCGTATGTTAATTAGGTCACGTGACAGAGCTCTTCAAAGTTAAAAATCGTGATTTTCCAATGGCTGTGGAACCGGAAGTTAACGATGCACAACAAAAGTGAGGATATCAACGGATATATCTCGTAAGGGGCAACAATTTTTGTTCAGGTCACAAGGTCACCAAAGGTCAAAGTCACTAGATATGAGCCTTAATATTTTTGACAATTACTGAAAACATAAAACCGGAAATAAAAAAAATACGAATCCAAAATTCAAAAATTGGCTTCCTAAGTTTTGTTAGCAATCGATTGCAAATTCTTTAGACACCAAAATCACACAAATCAGATTTACCCCTGAAGCTTAATATCGTTTTTTACAAAAATTTGTCACATCAAGATGGCGTCTAACACGTTACTTCCGGTTCAAATTTTTTCATTCCAAAATTGTTACAGGGACAATTTTAACTAATTTCAAAAAGAATTTTTCAAATACCTACAAAATTCCGGAAGTTAAAATTTCAAGTTTAGAGGCGAACAACGTCAAAACCAGAAGTGATATCGAAATTTTGAAAATAGATTTTTGTCAGGAATCAAAATGCTTATCTACTATTAAATTTTTAGACCGATTGAAATAAAATTGTAGAAGTTGAAAAAAACGCTAAAATTAAAACAAAAAAAGTCAGCGACAAAAGTCAAAATCTGAAATTTTATAAAGTGCTATCTTTTAGTCATTGGTTTAAAGTAATGAACAAAACAAAAGTTACGGTCAAAATAGATGCAGAATTAGAGCAGTAATTCGAAATACGTAATGAATGGTTAACGTCATACGTCATTTAAGATTGGAAGAAAATGCGTCATTTTACATTTAAACAGTAGCGACACGCAAAGTATATGAAATAATAGTGTCAGACAATGAGTGACATGTGCAGTTTTGGCTGGGGAGCGTGACCAGAAGTAGACAAAAAAAAAAAAAAAAAAAATAGTCATTTGCAAAACAATGCAATAAGTGAAACATGATAACTGTTGATCAATAATGTTGTGGAAGGAAAGGAGACAATATATACATTAATGTTTATGTAGACGTTATTCATGCTTTGTATATCATCCTGGACCTAACACAAATTACGTCATCTATTGAAAATATTTCGATTTCATATGACAGGATTAAGCACTCTATCAACAACATGAAAATGAGCTTAAAACTGGCCTTCATTAAATAGCTTAATCATTTCAAATGGTGTAGGTATGAGCTAATGAGAATAAGGCGTTGAAGACATTGAGATGGCTGTTGTTTGAATAAGGTCTATAAATATCAAAAGCTGTAGCGGGGCAAATGCCTAACTTTTGAAACTTAGCAAACTTGAGAATATTTTCTTTTTTTTAATTATTTATCTAAATTTATCAATTCCTTTTACCTCATTATAACTTAAATTGTGTTTTAGTTTTGTACACATACAAAGATATTAAAAATTTGCTTACACTTCACTCTCTGGATTATTTTCTTGATTTCTACATTTTTCTAATTTCTTCTGTATTTGTTGTATGGTTTGTTTGTGTAAAGGTTCTTGATTTTTTACCATATAGCGAATTCCTAAAATAAGATCAGTATGATGAAATTTGGAATCCTGTTTAAAAATAATCTCAGAAAAATCACCATATTATTAACAATATTGTCATGAAATAAAACACATTTTGATGGATGACAAGAAAATTACTTACTTTTAACTTGAAGAATGGTTTTTTGAAGATCTGCTTCAGATGCTCCTTTTAGCAACTTATCAGTAACATAACTAGAAAAAAATTCATAACGGTTATCCCATTTTATATCATAAAGAGTTTCAATTAGTGTAATTAGTCATTCATTTTTGTAGATTTTGAAAAAAAAAGTTGTAAGGAACTGATTTAGAAGATATTTTTTGTGTTATTGGGCACACAAAATGGTAAAAGCATTGAAATACAGTAGGGACAACATCAATTTTGGGGTTAACAATCAAATCAAACTTATTATTAATTTAGCACTTTTACCTGTCTAGGTTACACCCCTCCTTAGAAGAACTGGCTAACAGGGCAGATAATGCTATCTAAAAAACATGAAATAATAATTAAGTAATAGATAAAACATTTCCTGATTTCTCCTAATAATGCATTTCAATTAAAAACTATGAGAAAGTTTAAGGCAGGACCCTATAATGGTAAGCTTCATATTGAGAAGCCTAAGAAAATCTCACAATGGCAAATTTTGTTTACATTTAACCAGTATAAGATTCATCAGAGAACTATGTAAACATCTCTGTTAAATGTACAGCAGTTCTGATGAAATATGTCAAGATATTGCATTTAATTGGGTTAATGATGAGGAGAGGTTTCAAATTGAGGAAATATCTACAATTTCAATATACTGACCTGTGATGGAGAGAAGATTAAACTAGCATCAGTACCTAGTGATTGATCTAAAAACTCTTCACCATACTTCCTTAATTTCTCAGCATCAATTTCTTTATTTCTAGTCTAATAAAAAGGTAAGCAAAGGAAATACATCAAATTCCGTCTCTCTAACACGCCTGGACTGAAACCATTACACATTTCTTTAGTAATTAGACCTCTTATAAGGAACTGATGTAATAAATATTCATGATTTCAAACTGACCAAGATTTGTTTTGTACATATGAAAACATGCATGGAACTCCGAATGTCATAAGTATAAGAAAGTTTATTTTCATTGGTAAAGATTTACATGAAGCTATTTGAATAAAGTGAACCAAGGTCCTATCTATTTATTGATAAGGATAAATGACATGAACCAATGTTAAACCTTACCTTCAGATCTATAAATAAACCCTCTAAAGCCCGAAATGGATTGTGAATAGTAAGATGATAATGTACTTTCTGCATTAATAATAACTCAAACCCTAAAATAATATCAGCAAATTTCTCCCTATCTCCTTTTAAATTCTTCACAAACTGTCCGATAGGTACATAGAATTCTTCTACTTTACATGATAGATAAATACATGTTAGCCTGCAAAACACAGTGAATATGATTAGAAAATATCACATGACAGCATTGATCACCCTTTAAATGCAATAGTGTCATATATTCTGTTCTATGATTGTTGAAGTCAAAGTGTCAATGTTAGATACAATTTTGATATACAAGATAGCTTGCCAGGCAAGGTAATATACGCCCACTGGCAGCTTTGATATTGAATAAAAATATTTGGCAGTACAGTAACAATCACCAGTATAAAATATCCAACATTCTGTCATACACTTCTTTTAAACTCTTTGATTAATATTGAGTATGAGTTATTGTCCTTGTTCTTAAAAACGTGTTCAATTTTTAGCTCCTGAAAACTCTAGAAGGCAAATATTCAATCTTCAGTGCAGGACTGAATAACAAAACCAAGTTTTGTCAAATCCAGCAAGAATCATGCTTTTTAGTGTTTAAGAGCTAAAATTGAACGCGTTTTCAAGAGCAAGGGCAATAACTCATACTAACTATTTTTTGATTTTTCTGATTTTCAATACGGTTTATCCTTGGTTGATAACAAACACTCATGCCAAGTTTCGTCAAAATCCACCAAGAATTGTGTCTTGTAGAGTGTTTACGAACAATTGTGGACGGACGAACAGACGGACATGGGTGACGGCAATATACGCCCCCCATTTCATGTGGGCGTATAAAAATCAACATTATAGTAAAACTTACATTAAGTCTCTAGGATGGTAATCCATTACAGAATTGTTAAGATAAAATCTTTTGAAAAAAACTAAAGCTGTACCCTGTAACAAATACGAAGGCTTATAAACAAGGTTTTTAATAAACATTAATTTAAGATAAAAAGATGTTCTTCCTGCAAAGATGTCAAAATAAACTTCTCATATAATATTCATATTTCAGACAAAATATCAAATATCACCACAAATCAGCATAAATACATAAATCAATTACCACAACACATTTTGGCATAGGCGGTTGAAATTTTCCACAGAATTCTTTCAAAACATATTCAAAATGGCGGAGT